TATATATTTAACAATATAGTTTGAATATATATGCTCTATATGCATAGTGTAGGAAGGCTCAGAAAATGTCATTTACACTGGCATTTGTGACTTCATGTATGACCTCATTGAAAGCCCATTGGAATCAGTGTAAAGATTCGCATGAACATCAATGACCTTTGGAAGGGGTCCAGAGAGGCTAAAATTGATCATTGCACTAATATTTGAAATATCAAGATGTATAAACATTTATGAACAGTTATTAAAAATCAAGCATATTTGCCAACAACCAATAATAGGTGCTTATGGCACAAAAAGAAACATTTTACTATTTGAGGCCCGTTTTTGCTTGGCTATATTTTAATGCGAGCTATTTAGCTCCTAAAACTAAAACATGAATTACTTTATTCAATGTGCTTTTTATCTGTTACATGTCTAATATTTGCATCAGACTTTTCTCCATCACATCGCATCTACCAGTGGGTTATTTATTTCCACTACCCAGTTCTAATGTCTGGGCCACAGCTATGAGGAATAAACCCCATGGATATGGGAGAAAACTGTCTCTGAATCACTTCTGTTGCCATCAAAGCAAATTGGAGGCTCCTTCCATCAAAGCAGAAGTTAGCTGTTTTCCTCCCTCGTCTTCAGGCTGGGTGTGACATGAACACTTTGCATCTCCATTAGCATTTCCCACAGCTGTTTCGGATCACAGCCTGCTGGAGCTCAAAGGAACAGCTGATCCTTGTTCTTTAACCAAGCACTGTGGTTTCTGTTCTTGCTGCTTTGGGACCCTGAGGTTTGGGTTCAAACCTGGGCTTCAGCCAACTAGGAACATGTCGATTTCAGCCCCTTGTTGCCCAACCCTGAATCCAGTCATGGACAATCCTGTCTTTCTTGGGACAACTTTGATTTTTATTTTCAGAAGGAAGGGAGCAAATGAATGTTGCTGGATAGTTTGAGCCAGTAGTTGAGTATGGGTCTGACTGGGAGTGGAGGCAGTTGTAGGGCCAAAATTAAACCCATCGTTTGTTAATATCTGGCTTTAGAAGTAACATATGGCAGAAGACCAGGCTTTGGGAGACCCTGCTACACATGGAAATTAAAGCTGGATAGCAGCCAGCTATAAAGTTAGGACACATTTTTGAGGTTGAACTTTATAGCTGGTTGGACCTTTTTATGTTGTGATAGGTACTTTGAATATGCTGCTGGTCTCAGTTTAGTTGCACAATGAACCAGTTAATTGCACAATAGCTGTAACGTGTAAAAGAATCAAAGGCAACTGCTCCCTACTTTGTTTTGATTGTTTTTTTCCCCCAGATACTATTGTATAAAGGCTCTGGGTGTGATGGCCTCTGCTGTGCTCCTCCATGTGTATAGTGTGGCATATGAGAGGCTGAGGCCTCTGGTTGATATCTTTGAACCCATTCAAATGAAAGCTGGCTAAAAAACAGCTATAGACCTGTTACACATTTTCAAGCACTAACTTTGTATGATAATTACTTTGCACATGTAGCCAGTCTGAATTTATGGCATCATTCACCAGTTAATTGAGTAATATGTTACATGTAGCATGGGGAGAGTGTGAATGTATGTGTGTATGGGCATGAGTGTGTATGGGAGAGTGCTAGTGTGAGAGTGTATGTGTGTGTGTGTGTGTGTAAGTGTCTGTGAGTGGGGGAGAGAGTATGTGTGTGTGGGAGAGTAAAAATGTGGGAGAGTGTATTTGTGTGTGTGCGCGTGCATGCGTGCGTGCATGCGCATGTGGGTAAGTATGAGTTGGGGAGATGGTGAGTGAATGTGATTGTATGTGACTGAGTGTAGATGTGTGTGGGAGTGTGTGTGTGTGAGAGTGTATTTCAGACCCAGGACCTCTAGCCTGAAGAGCTGACGTTAAATAGAAATAGCTAAAAGCAATAGCAAAGCCTTCCAGAGCAGAGCCAAGGGAACTCCTCCCAGTCACCCTCTGCTTCCAATTCATGCCCCGTTTTCCTGGGGCTCCTGGTGGAATGTAACCCCAGTGCATAGGTACAGGCACATAGTGCCATGCCTGGTGGTAAGTTAGTGATTGAAATGCACGCAGTTTGCACCAGTCCCTCTATGCAGCAATCAGTACTTCACCATGAGCATTCTGCTTCCCAGCACTTGTCCCCTAAACCAGGACAGATTAGTTCCCTGGAAAGGCAGGTGGAGGCTGAAGTTTTTGGCTGAGAAGCTTAAAAACAAACATCTATGGAAAAAGAGGTTTAACTCTGGAGGGTGGAGGTGCTGGCAGCTTTAGGAGATTTGCAAAAGGTAAAGTGGAGGCAAAAGAGAAAGGGGAAGAG